ATTGGCTTCAAATCAATGCTGCCATATTGGAAAAATCTGCAACATAATCATTTTACTACAGCAGGTGAACTTAAGGCAAAATTGAAAGAAAAAGATTCTAACTTTGATGTCAATGAACGTATAATATGTCGTGAACTCAACAATCTTGAATATATTTCTGTTCTTTTAAGAAAGGTTCCTCTCTTAACCCAAAAAGTGAAGGATTTTTATTTGTCTTAGACACATGATCATTTGCGATACAACTGGAAAAAAGTTATTTTTCTGATAAAACAGCACTTCAGTGTTTAAAATACCACGTATGCATAGTCTCATAATGCACAACCAATTGCTCCTATGGTAAAGTACCCATTCAAGATTCATATTTAGACAGCAATTAGTACTAAAGGAAAAATCAGCATTCATTTGTTTACTGAAAATTTGGATCATTATTTGTATCGAAAAATCTTAAATAACTATTTGTATAATAATGCAGATATGTTATACAGATATGACTAGGTCTTCCAATAAGATAATGATCCAAAACACACCTCATACAATATTTATGGGGACTTGAAAAAATATCTTCTAAGACATGTTCTTTCTTGGCCTTCATACAGCTCAGACTTGAATCCTATTAAAAATATATGGGCTGTATTAAAGGAAAATATGGAGAAAAAGATCAAATATTTAGTAGTAAAAAAAAAATTACTTACGATGTATTTCTTAATACAATCTGGCAGAAATGAGACGATCTGATGACGCCATATTACTTCAGTGCATTGAAAGCATACCAAGTTAAGTTAAAGCATATATCAATGCAGAAAAAAGATATATCAAATATTAATTAATAATATAAAAGTTATCGTTAATATTGTTCTTATAAATAATAAAAAAATATATATACATTAAAATAAAGTTTGTACATACTGTCAAAATATGTTTCTGCTATTCTTTTCGTCAGGGACTGTATATAGCATAATGATAAGTATATATAATAGCTTTATTAAATAAATAAATTTAATAAATAAATAAAAATCAGTTTATTTTGATTGTTAATTAAAAACTGCCTAATTTAATTTTTATTTGAAAGAATCAATACCTATCTGCTATATCCAATTATTCAAAATTCTTTAAATAACAGTATTCTGATTGCAATCTATATAAAGCCAATTTATATTTAAATTCATTTCAATTTTTATGTGCTAATTGAAACTTGATTATTTGCCAATTATTTATATGATTTGTACTAATAATTATCCAAAATCAGTATTTAGTAATATTATTTAATATTCACAAATCAGTATACTATTAAAATCTAATAAGAAAGATTATTAGCATCTAATTTAATGCTAATTTGCCATCATTCAACCAGTGTTAACTATAATAAATTCTATAAAAATCATATAATATTATATTTTAACTATAAAATTTAAAGGTTTTATAAGTTGTTTAAATAGTAAAAGATAAAATTTATTAAATTATATTAAAACCTTATTAAAAATCTATAAAATTCAAAAAAAGGTAAAACTATATTAAAATTTATAAAAATAGTAAAAATATATTAATATCTTTGTAAAAAATTAGCAAAAATAAAAATTTAAATACTTTGTCAAATTTAAATAAGTTTAGATAAATAACTTTAATCTTAATTAATAATTGAATTTATAATTATTATATTATTAATAATAAAATTTATAGATTATTTAAATATTTTGTTTAATCTGTAATTATATTATAAATATAATCAATTATTTATAATATTTAATTTGATAAAATTATTGATTAAATATTCAATCATTTAATCAATTATTATTAACTAATAAGATAACTAAATATTATATATTTAGATATTAATTTATTTATAAAATTGAAAAAAAATATTTTAATTAAATAATACTTATTTTTGAATTATTATAAAAAATAAAATATATTTAATTAAAAAATTCATAGTTTAATAATATTTGAGAATTTTTTAAATACTATTTAAAAGCTCTAAATAGTTTAAATTAATCTGAAAATTTTCAGTTCAAAATAACTTCAAATCAATTATAAATTGCATAAAATTAATTTGAAAATTTTAGTTAGTTTATTTTAATTGAATATTAAAAATATCGTTTTATTAAAATGATCAAAATTATTATTTTAAATTAAAAAATAAGACTGCAATTAGTTATAACTGGTAATAAATAAGTATTACAGAGTTGCAACTAGTTGTGATATTAATAAAAATTGAGTTATAACTGATAATAAATAAGTATCACATAGTTATAACACCATCTTTGTTTTAAATGAATGATAATAATATTATTTAATTAGAATAATAAAATATTACTCAAATAAATAAAATAAATAATAAATAATATAGATAATATTTAGTTAAAATGATAAAACATCATTTTAAATAAATTATAAAGATATCATTCAATTAGAATAATAAATTAAAATGATTAAAATTATTATTCTAAATGAATAATAAAGATATTATTTAATTTAAATAATAAAAATATCATTTTTAATAAATAATAATATTATTATTCAATTAAAATGATAAAATTATCATTTTAAATAAATGATAAAAAATAGTTTAATTAGAATAATAAAAATATTATTTCAAATAAATAATAAACATTATTTATTTAAAACAATAAAATTATTATTTTAAATAAATAACAAAGAGATTATTTAATTAGAATAATAAAAACATCATTCTATACAAATTAAACTTTCAAATTAATTCAAATTTTTAACTTAGTTCAAATTTTTACAATTTAATTCAAATTCAAATTAATATTTTTTAAGATTAATAATATGAATTAAATTGAATTGAAATATTAGTTCAAATTTAGATTGACTTATATCTAAACTAATATAAACTATTCAGAATATTAATATCGATATTATCTAAATCTATCTAAAATACTGATCTATTTATAATAATATTTTTATTTCATTTACAAATGATCTGCAATTATATAATACTTAAAATTAGCTATATATATATATTAAATTTAAAATTAAATAAATATATTAGTTATAAATAATAAATTAACTGAAATTATTAAAGTTAGTAATAAAAGTTAAAGAATTAATTTTAATAATTAGTTATTTAAATGATTATTAATTTGAATAATAATTGATTATTGTCTTATCTGAAGTGAAGTAAAAAATATTATACTTTAGAAAATAGAGAAAAATTTAAGATTACACATAATGTGATTTATAAAATTTCTGTTTATTATATCATATAAATTATATAAATTAATAATTAGAAATTATAAAAACATATTACTAAATAAACTAATTAATAAAAAGAAAATAACTAATAAAAAGTATCTAATTATAATTGTAATAAGATATTAATTTTTGAGTTTTAAGCTTACAACAGTTTATGTTTCCTAGTAAATTATAATTAATTGAATATAAAAATTCTTGATTTAATCTTCTAGTTTATTCAAATAAGTCAGAGTTGTTATCTAATTATTTTTTTTAAAATAAATTTAATTATTTTAAATAAATAATTTTATATTATTTTATATAAATTGATTAGAAATAAAAGTATTATTTTAATTAAATAATTTTCATATTAGCTATAAATAAAATAAGCTATTAAAATTATATATGACTTACTATATTTATAACTCAATTTTAATAGCAAACCTCTCATATTTAAATATATATTCTTCTCATAATTATTACAAATAAAAATTCAAATTTAAAGTTGATTTATAAATAATTTTGATTTATTAATATATGCAATAACTTTTATTATTTTTAAAATATTATGTTATAAGGCCTGTTTATTTCTAATCATTCAGATTTTTGATTAAATATTGAGTTGATAATTATTGGCTAACAAATTATGTAACTCAATTAATAATTTAATTTTTCTAAACAACAAAAGGTAAAATCAAATGGTTGATTAATTTTTGTTAAAATTTTTTACCCTAACTCAATTCTGATTTTGATCACATATTTGAACATTTTACTAATTTATCTTCTAAATTCTAATAGGCTGATATAATTAAAATCAATTAGGATTAAGATTAGGATTAAGGTTAAGGTTAAGGATTAAATGATTTATCATTAATATGATACTAATAATGTTTCAATTTTTATTAAACTTTTAAACTTTTGAGGGACTTAGAATTTTTTTCAATAAGTAATACTTATTTATTAGCTATAAGATATTATAAATAAGTATATTCAATTATACCAGCTAATCAGAACTTGAGAGATAAGTTAGTAAATTCTTAAATTAGTTAACAGATTTTGCTGAATGATCAGAAATAAATAAGTATATATATAATATATTTATCGATCATTTAAATAAGCTTTGATACATAATAATAAATAGACCAATTAGAGATTAAAATCTCACAATCCTGAGACAATCATTGTGTTATAAATAATGGTTAATGCAGGTATATTTATATTGTATTCTAAGTTGTGATCTGTTCTAATTTTAAATTGAGGCAAATCTATTTTACCTAAAACTAAAATTTCAATTTCAGGCAGTTCAAATTTAAATTTTAAATTGAGACATCTTGAATTTAATGCTTGAATTTAGCTATTTTTTCTTTAACTTTTATTTTCACTCTAAATCTTCTTTTTATTTGAAGTAAAATTTATCTTTTATTTTATTATCATAAAAAAGGAATTTTTTTTATAAACAAAGAAACTTTTAATAAAATTATTAATAAATTTCTTCAAAATAATAAATCAAAAACTGATGAAAAGCAATTAATAAATAAAAGTTTATATGATAATATAAAAGCAGTCCTCTTAGATGATAATTCAAAATTATGCAATACAGATTTTTAGTATTGATATAGAAATAAATTGAAATATTACCATTAATTGTAAAAAAAAATGTATAAAGTAATTGGTTAAAGTATGTTCAAAATCTTCATTATGATCAAAAGATCTTGTATAGTAAATTAAAAAGCAAATAGTTTGAAATAAAAAAGAAAATTGTAGAAGAATTTGTAAATAATTATAAAATATGTATTCTATATAGAAATATGTCTAAATCTACTTTATTAACAAAACTTATAGTTTTAAAAAGATTTCTTTCAAGATTACAGGTATTTAAATTATAATAGCTATTTTTAATTAATTTATTTGCTTATTTATTAAATTTAATTTATAATTTTTATTAGATAGATTTAATTGATTTACATCAATATTTTGATAATAGTTTTAAATATATTTTATATGTAAAAGACCATTTTTCATGATATTTATAGGCAAAACTATTAATTTCTAAAGAATCTGTAGTTGTTGTAGGAATATTATATGAAATTTTTTGTCAATTTGATCCTTCATTTATTTTACAAAATGATAATGACAAAAAGTTTATTGTTAATATTATTAGTAATTTAATTAAATTGTGGTCTAATTTAAAGATAATAAATGATAGACTTAGATATTATAATCATAAAGTTTAGTTAAAAGAGAAAATTCTATTTTAGAGAAAAAAATTGAAGCATAGATGAAACAAAATCATTTAACAAATTGGACTATATATTTGAATTATGTTATTTTATTATGAATAATATTATATCAATCATCAGTTATATTACAAGAGGTGTCAATTATTAATACAAATTAGTATAATATTAAATTATGAAAAATTTCATTTTAATACAAATTTTTTTAAAACAAAAAAAACTTCTGAATCTTAATAAGCTTTTGTTTTTCAAATTTTAATCTATAAATTCTAATAGTTTTTTTTATATTACAATACATATATAAAAAGTTTCTATAATATCTACTTTTCCTATTTTTTTTGAATTTAACCTTTAGATGCAAGTTTATTAAAAAACGAAATATGATCTTAAATTTCTAATTATACATAATTTTATATATACAATCAAAAAACCTATTTAGTAAAAGTAGTTAAATTAGTAAATTTTATAAAAAATTTTATTTTTATTTTTTTATTAATTAATCAATAATTAAGGTTATTTAGATGGTAGTTTTAAAATTTTATTGTATTTATTTATTTATTTTGTAATATTATATTCATTTAAATAATAAAAATTCAAGTTAATAAAAAATTTCGACTTTAATTTTATTATTATTTTTTTTTATTAATAATGTTTAAAATTTATTTTTATGATATTTTTATGCTACTTTAACTTTAGATTTAGTTCAATCTTCTAAAAGCTTACTAAAAATCTTATTAATAGCTAAATCTGAAAATTCTTCGTTATAAACTAACAATTCTTCAAATAATTTTTCCTCCTCTAGAGTTGTTTGTTTTCATTTTTTTCTTATCTTTATTTGATCATTAGATAAGTATGGTAATTTTAAATATTCAATTGGCTATTTGATCTACTTATTTGTGAAATATTTTGTTGGATTTGAGATAATTTAGTTACAGCCTTGTGTTTTAATTTTTTCTGTTTATTATAATCTTTGAATTTTATTTAAACTACTTTTATTATTCTCATACCCTATGTATTCTTAGATTCTATTTTCAGAACCTCTTATTAATAAATTGCTTTGATCTATTTTAATCTTTTCTGATAGCATACAATTAGATGTTTAACTTCTTGTTGATGCAACTCTGTTGGTAGGTATTCTTAAAATAAATTATGAGACAAAAGATCTGTCATTCTAAAAAAAATTACCAAATTATCTATGAGATTTTATAGCAATTCCCTTCATAATTTATTAACTCGTTCAGTTTTTAATACTAATTTATTATTTAAATATTCATATAGTAACAAATCTATTTTATCCCTTTCATCTTGGCATACTTTGATTTAATTTCTGAGACTTTTTTCATCAATTGTATTACCAGTAATATTTTGCTTAATATATTTTACTCCAAAGGTCTCTAATACTTCATCAAAAGTAAAATAAATATAGTGAGAATCATTTTCTTTATGTGAAATTTTAAAAGAACCAAAATAGTTTAATTTTTTTTCTAATTGTAAATGGGCTATTGTTAAAGAAAATAAGCTTTTATAATAGTATAATATGATTTAGTAATACTAGCAAATAAAGATGCAACTGCAATAAGAGAATTTTTTGAATATTAAAATTATTAAAACATATTTTCATTTTATGTATTTTTCAAATACTTACCTATTTATAATAAAAATATCAAAGTTTAAGATAATTGTGAGTATTATTTTTACTATCTATGATCTCAAAAATTATATTTTTTTTGAAATAATGTAAATATTAATTGCTACTCTTACAGCTACTCATAGAAAATCTAGAATTTTAGTAATTAGAAATCATATATCAAGACTTAAAGCTAAACTTAATAAACTATAACTTGAAAATAAAATTAAAAGTATAAAGCAAAAATCTTTAGAGATATGCCACTAGCCTAAATAAGGTCTTATATTATACCATTTTTTTCTATCCTTAATTAATTAATAATATATTGATTCATTTGCTATAATATTAAGAAAATCATAATCTTTTAAAGCAAAATCTTTTTATACATCTTAGCAATATACAAAATTTTTTTATCAGAATTTGAATTAGCTCAGATTTAAGAATTATAACATTGGAAGATTGACCTAAGCATTCATAATCTAATTTGAAAAGTATAATATATTTAATACTTTTAGCATCAAAATCTTTTTTGTAAGACAATTTTTCATGAATATTTTTGAAATTTAATAATTCTTTAAGTATTCTTTGAAAATTCATTAATATTTAATTTATTTTAGAATTCATATTAAATAATAACATATCTGCAGTTAGCTCAATTGTTTTTTCAATACCAATTTTAGCTATTATAAGTTGTGTTTAAAAGGCTATTCTTAATGTTACATGAGAGCATTCTTAAATAATATTGTAAATATTACCAAATTTAAAACTCTTTTCTTTAAAATCTATATTGTCAATAATTGCTAAATTTCAAATATTATTCTCTTAAATTAGGCATTATTTTAGATTGGCTGTTTCTATTCAAATATTAACAAGTTTTCTTTTATATCGATCTATATGGAATATTATATTAATAATTCATTAAGTGAGCTTAATAATCTTAGTTTATGACTTAAACTTGTTAAAACTTAAAATAGCTAAATCTTTATAGAATAAAATACTATTTCTACTAATATTAAGGTAATTAATATTACAATCTTAATTGTTTATTTGTAGTAATTCTAAGGAAGATTTTTTTGCAGTAATTTTTGATCTTAAATTCTATAATTTTTTTCCAATCATACATTCCAATTTTTTAATTATTAATCTTTAATTTCTCTTTATTATGTATTTTTTTTAAATGACTCAATGAAAAGTATTTTAATCATAAATAAACTAAGTAGTTAAGCAAATTTATTAATATTTGGAATTGATTCAGTAAATATTTTTTATTAATAAATGGTAAAAAAGATGCAAAAGAAGTAAGAGTATTAACTAATGCTATTAATGTTTGCTTTTTAATTTTTTGTCTTTAGTTTATGAAAAATCAATCAATCAATTACTTAAAATTCAAGCCTTTTACTAATATCATTTAAATGTAATTGTCTAGTAATACAAGTAGTTTCTTTTTTTTCTCTTCCTAAATATTAATAAATATGACTTCCAAATTTTACATAGTATAAACAACAAATATATTTTGGATTTTTAATATTATTAAATGTTTTAATATATAAAGGATAACATATTTTTAATATTTTATAACTATATTATTTAATACATAGTACCTGAATATTATATTTATTTAGATACTAAGAATATTAAATGTATTCTATTTTTCGTGAAAAAAATGTTATAAATTTATCACAAGAAATATATCTATATTATTAAATTATTTCTATTTTAAAGTCTTTTAATTTTTTCTCGTAATTTATACAGTATTTATTATCAAATTGAAAATACAAATCGCAAACTCCCAATTTTGGTAAATTACTATCTACTTTTTTAATGGTATCTCAATCTACTTGCTATATACAATAGAGATTACGCAATTATCTTATATTACTTTTTTTCTGTTCATATCATTAAAATTTATCATTAATAAAATCAATGACTATACATATAGTAAAGTTCTTTTTATTCTAAAATTTTTATAATTTTATTAAATTCATCATTATCACTATAGAAAAGTTGATTATTTTCACTTTCATTTTTACTTTTAAAGTCTAAATCTGTTTTATTTTTATAATTATCTGAGTCAAAACTATTAGTTTCACTATTATCTACAAATATTTTATGTAAAAACTAGCATTACATTTATTAAAATAATTATAAATATTAGAAAACTCATAACCTCTATTTAGATTATTACTTTCTATATTATTAAAGTCTCTATTATCATTGTTTCTATTATTTCCTAACTTTTGAATTTTTCTGTCAAAGTTTTAATAAAAGAATGCAAAAAAAAATTGTCTTTATGTTCTGATATTTATAATTAATAGATCTTTAAAAAATCTAAAAAATCACAAAAATACGATATATTATAATCTAAGATGCAAATTATTGATAACTTTTCCTGCATATATTAAAACAGAAATATTTTTTGCTATCTTTAAGATTTGAATATTATAGCATTATAAGCTACTGTAAGATAGCATTTTCACATGTTTATATATTAGCCAAATTCAGCAATTTTTATCTATAAATTATATTTTCTAGTAAAAGTACCTCAATATTTATTCTATCTTTACAAAAATTTATATATAATAACTTCAATATGATGTGAAATAACATATAAAATTTTAGCATATATTATTATGTAAAATATTTTATTTAAATCAAAAATAGTATTATGAAAAATGATTGATACAGATATTGATTTTATAATTAAATTAATTTAATATACCAATCTATGATACAATTAGTAATTGATATATATAAGTTACTAATAAAATACTATATGAAATAATATTTGGAATGCATTCTCATAATAATAAAATATGGATAGAACATTTATTTAGAGATAAAAATTGTATTAATGAATAATAATTATTAGATAATATAAGTAATTAAATAAAATGATATATTATATAATTTTAATTAAGTAAGTATAATAAATATTTTATAAATTTAAAATTATTTTTTAAAAATTTTATTAAAATTTAAATTTATATAATAAGAAGAAGATAATGAATCTAATAATAAATCTACTAAGATATAAATATATTTTATAATCATTTTAGTAAAATATTTACTTATATTTATTATAATATTTATTTATTATAGATGCAATTAACTAAAAATTTTAAATAAAAGCAAACAAAAATAAGAAAGTTTAAATACTTTATCTAATTCAAATTCTAATAATAATAATAAAATTAATACTACAAAAAAAGTAATAAATTAATTTAAATTTTATATGTTATAATTTAAATTATTTATTCTAATATATATTCTTAAATTTAAATATTAAAGTAACTAAAGTCTAAAAAAGTATTTAAAGCTGATTCTAATACATTATTTAAATTAAAATAAAGTCAAATTAAACATATTCTTGAAAAGAAATCAATTTATCATGGGAAGGTTTATTTAAATATAATAAAAACTTAAAATAAGATGTACTTAAAAAAGAAATTCAAATGGCTTTATATGATTTAGAAAATTACGTATCACAAAACAATTTGATAGTATTTTATTAAATATTTAGAAATTAAGGTTTTTTAAATAATTTGATATTTTAGAACAAATAAATCAAAATGATAATTTACAAGCAAGTTTAATTAATAACTTAATTTACTATAATTTTTTTTATAATATAAATTAATTAATTAATATTTTAGATTGTTCTTCAAAATTTACATTAAATAATAAACTGAAATCAATATCTAATAATGAAATTCAATTAACATTTAATAATAAAGAAATTTGTTATCTAATAATGAATTTATTAATTCATTTAATAGTGATGAATTTTTTTCTTCTTATGATTAAATATGTAATAATGCAATAATTAATCATCAATAATATAGAAAAAAATATGAAAAATTTGATAAAGAAAAAAATTAAATAAAAGGATCATATAAAATTGATGATATTGTTAATTTAAAATTTCAAAAGTAGATAAAGCAAAATTAGGATGTATTTATTTACCATGCAAGGTTTTAAAGATTAAACCTAAAGGCTTTTATGAATTAGAATGCTCTGAAAGATAATTAAATATAAATTATCAAGAAAAAAATTTAGAATCTACTAAATTAGAATCAATGATTGAATTAATAGATATAATAGTAATAGTTATAGAAGCAGTTAAATTACAAAATAATACAAAAAGAAAATGAATAATAATTAAATTTCAAAAATAGCTTTTATATTTTAATTAAATATTAAATAAATAAAATTACTTTTTAGCAAATTTGCATAAATATTATTTTAATTATTTAATAAATGATTTTGATTTATAAAGTAAATAATATTATATAAATAGTTATAGTAAATAATTAAATGTTTTAAAAATAAATTTCACTATTTTAATTTTAATTTAAATTTATTGGATACAAAATATTTATTTTTTAAATTTATACAACTAAAAAAATAACATTTGATTTTATAATTTTAAAATTTAAATTATATAAAGATTAAAGTAGAAAAAAGTTAACTTAAAACATCACATTTCATCTCAATTATAAATTTGAGCAATAGCCAATTTATTTCATTTTAAATTGAGATATTAGTCAACAATGTATTAATTTCATAGTTTTAAATTTGCTTCAATTTTAAATTAGGACAATAGTTAACTCCAATTTGCCTCAATTTAAAATTGGGGCAATAGCCAACTTGTGACATCACGTTCCCAGTTTCCAATTTGCCTCAATTTAAAGTTGAGGCAATAGCCAACTTGGAGTACCGCGTTTCCAGTTTCTAATTTGCTCCAATTTTAAATTGGGGTAATAGTCAACTTGGGGCATCTTATATTCCCAGTTTTCAATTTGCCTCAATTTTAAATTGGGACAATAGTCAACTTAGGACATCGCGTTCTCAGTTTCCAATTTGCCCCAATTTAAAATTGGGGCAATAGCTAACTTGGGGAACCGCGTTCCCAGTTTCCAATTTTCCTCAATTTAAAATTGGGGCAATAGCCAACTTGGAGCACCGCGTTCCCAGTTTCTAATTTGCCCCAATTTTAAATTGGGGCAATAGTTAACTTAGGGCACCTCATGTCTCAATTTCCAATTTATCCCAATTGTAAATTAAGACAATTGTCAACTTAGGGTACCACATGTTCCAGTTTGTTCCAATTTTAAATTGGGGCAATAGTCAACTTGGGTCACCGCATGTCTCAATTTTCAATTTGCCCTAAATTTTAAATTGGGGCAGCAAAATCGCATTGCCCAAATTTGAAATTTGCATTGGGGCAGATCATTAACTTGAGGCACAACATATATACCTCACAACTTGTCTTTTGTTTGTCATTTCATTTCATTTCAATTTTCTTGCGAGAATATTAGAATTCCATTTTTGCGTGGTAAGTGTAAAACCTTGCTAGTATGTCTTGTTTCTACTGTCTAGACGTTTATCCGCACACTATCTCTCGTTAAAAACTTGTTCGGTTCTTTCTTTTTTTAAGAAAGTTGAGAGAATCTGCTTTGTCTAAGGAGCAAAATGAATTCCTGGCTTCGACCGACTGGTTGTAATTCATTTATTTTTCGAAATGGGTGAATTTAGGTTATCGTGTTGTTTTCTTTCTCCTATTATCATCGTCTTTTTTTTTTTCCTTTGTTCGTCTTTTCATCTTGGTCTCAGTCTTCACATAAAACTTTTTTTCAACAAGTTTTCAACGACTTTGTTCAGTCTCCAACAGACTGTTTATCAATTTTTTTCCCATTACAAGGCTTTTTTTATCAGAAACTTTTTCCCATTACAAGATTATTAATATTTATCCCTTTATAAAGAAAACACTTGTAATAACTGTGAAAAAGGACGACCATAGTGTTTACTCTTCGGAAATGTCCAGCGGAAAGAGTTATGAAGAATGGCGAGATCCATACACTTTACATCATCAAAAGGCTTGGGTTAAAATATTATCAAATATATTCATTTATTTATTAATAAAAAATCAGTTAATCAAACAATCTTCTTTTTTTTTTTAAAAAAAAAAAAATGTATAATTTCATTGAATAAAACTAAAACTTTAGTAAATGTGATGGTATGAAAATAGAAATTTTACTTTTGATCACGTCAAGTAACGATTTCGATAGGTTTTATATGCAAACATTTTGTGAGCAAAGTCGTAAATTAGAAACCGTCAAATTTTATCCAATGTTGAACAAAATTTTCTCATATGACGCGTATGTCTTTTTTTGCTACCTTTATAATAAATGGCGTACGCTATAAATTTAGAATTGGGTCACAAATATTAGGTTTGCCTATATATGGAAATGTAAAGTTTTTATAGTTTATATGCAATCTGAACGATAAATGAATTTCTTAACGAATTTCTTTTAACAAATGAGTTGCAAAGATTTATCTATTTCATTATTAAAAGATATTTCTCGACTTTTTATCGAAGCAGACGATTATAATGTATACCTAACAGTTGGTGAAGAACCAAAGGTCGAAATATTTCAAGCTCATTCGGTAATTTTACGTGCTAGATCCCCTTATTTCCATGCCGCTTTATCAACAAATTGGGCTCAAAAAGCAGGTTATAAATTTCATTTTAAAAAACCAAATATTAATCCAAACATTTTTAGAAAAATTTTACAGTAAGTTTCAAAGTAGAAATATTATATATATATATATACACATTCATTTTTTTTTCCTTTTTTTAATTTCTAAAGTTTAAATTCTCTCAACTCTTTTATTTTAGATATATTTATACAGGTACAATTTACTTAGACGACGAATCAAATGATTTTAATCTTGTTGAATTACTTACAGCATCAGATGAATTAGTTCTTACAGATCTCGTAGATTATATTCAAGAACATATTATTAGTTTGAATAACGAATGGTATCAAAAAAATTTAATTCAAATATTTAATACAGTATCATGTTATGAAGGGGTATTTGAAAAATTGAGAGATCATTGTATCGAATTAATATCGAAAAATCCTCAATGGCTTTTTAATTCAGAAGAGTTTAATATATTACAAGAAGAAGCATTAATTTTAATTATTAAACAAGATAATTTACAAATTAAAGAGGTTGAATTATGGAATCATTTGATTACATGGGGAATTTCTCAATCTAATTTATTTGAAGATAGAACGATGACGGATTTGAAAGATTGGTCATCGGAAGATTTTGAAACTTTAGAGAGAATACTTCATCAATCTATTCCTCTCATTAGATTTTTTCAAATGTCACCAGAAGATTATTTTTATGAGGTTAGACCTTATAAAAAATTATTGCCAAAGCAACTTAAAGATGATCTTAAATTACATTTTATTGTACCAAATAGTAAATTGTCAACCCCAATCTTACCGCCTAGAATTTCAAAATTTACACTTGATTCAACAATTATTTCTTGCGAACAATCTTTAATGATTTCAAGTTGGATAGACCTTAAAGAAGGTACATTAATGTATACATCACAACAAGAAAATCCTTATAATTTATTACTTCTTTTACGTGGAAGTCGTCATGGTTATGGTGTAGAAGAATTTCGTGAAAAGGTATTTAATCAAGGTCCGACAATTATTGTTATTCATATAGCAGGATCGAAAGACATAATAGGTGGTTATAATCCTTTGGATTGGACTGGTTCAAACAAATTTAACCAGTCTTCTGAAAGTTTTATATTTTCTTTTCGTACCGATAAGAGATCTTCCATTACTACTTTAAGTAGAGTTATAAAAGAAAAAAGCGCTATTTCTGATGATGATGGCCATTTTATTGGTTTTGGTCATGGTGATCTAAAGGTCTTTCAAGGGGTTTGTCAAAGGAAAGATTATATGTGTTCTATTCGTGAATCATCATCTTTTCAAATATTTGATTATGAGGTTTTTAAAGTTGTAAAGAAGGAGTTTTAGAGATTTATTTTCCTTTTTAATTTAATCAAAATAATAATAATAATAATGATAATAATGATAATAATAATAATCGTTGTAACTGAATAGATGGTGATCGGCAATCGACCCTCCGTGCATTCACGAAAATTCGATTTCGTCTTAATTTAGAATTTCTGTAATTTTATTTTGAAATTAAAAAATTTACTTGAAGATTTATTAGAATTGTAATAGATGTCAAAAATATCACATAAATTTAATAAATTTTATAATTGTAATTTCTTTTTTATTTATTATACTTTGTTTTTTTAGTATACAAAATTTGCGTTAAATAATATTTATATATATATTATATTTTTTTTTTGCTTACCCAAATTACCAAATTTTAAAACTTCCTTTGCTAGATGCATTTGATTCTTTACCATTAAATTCCAATTTAATATGTAATTTTCCTTGGTCACCCTTCTCTAAATTTACCCAAAAGTCCCTTTCAGCTCCCGGTTGAATACGTTCTTGCACATTTAAATCGTATGATCCAATATCTACGTCTTTACTCATTGCGTTATGATCTCTTACTGACAAATTTATAGTAGCTGATGGATCATTAATGTTTATTGTACATTTTTCTTCCCTATTACACAAATAAAGTTAAAATCACGGGAAAATTTTCAAAATGCTGTTAAAAAAATAAATATATCTACCATGTAGGCGTCAATGTCTTCTTTTTAATTGCTGTCTTGAAGATGTCCTTTTTGTTAAATTTAACTCTTACATATGGATCACTCGTACCTAATAATATGAAAATTACAATGTTAGCATAGAATAAAAAAAGACAAATAATTACATGCAAAGACTTACCTCCACTGTCTGCTGCAATTAAATCTTTCGCTTCAATGATATGTAATGTCAGGATTACAGCTTCACCTATGGTAAAGAAATCATATTAAACAAAAACAAAATAAATTGAATATCAAAATCACTTGTCTGATAATTTTTTTTTAAGAAAATAAGAAATACCATTTAAACTTTCAGTACTACTAGCTAGTGAAGTTCTATTTTCTTTGGCTAGTATTATTTAAAGAAGTAAATAATGAATCAATGACCAAAAGAAAACATTTTCAAAGTTATTACGTACCATTTTCTTTATCAAAATCAATAGACCTGCTTGTTACATTTTCTTCTGATTTATCTGATTTCTCCGATTTCTCCGATTGGTCCGATTGATCAGACTTATTCGATCTGGGCTTCTTTAAAAGACCGAATCCAGAACCAACCATATTTCCTGCACCAGAAACAAATGTATTTGCTCCAGAACCGACAAGATTTACACCAGACCCTACAAAAGAGGTGCCGCCGGCAACGACATTTCCTACCCCAGAACCAATCCCTGTTAGAGTCTTTGTTACGACACCCGAAGTTTGTCTCCTCCTCGAAAGTAAAGCGGGCCGGAAAACAATATGAAGATTAAGTATGCCCCCAGGTTTTGAATTGTCAAGTTCATTCTGCAAATTTATATTTTTCACTGCTCTTTCAAAAAGTGGCAAATCGTCGATTTGAATCTTACAACTTGCAATTTTTGTAGCATTTCCTATTTGATTCCAATCAAACATTTCAGCTTCTAATACATCAGCTGAACGTGACAACTATCAAAGAAATATTTGCGTATTTTAAATCTTGTTAAATATAAAAGAAGTTATTACAACTAAAAAAATCCGATAAATACCACTTTCACCATAAATTCTTCATTAAATTCGGGACTACAAGTCTTTTTGACAACCCTTGTTCTATAAACCTTTTCGTTATTCAAGGTGAAGATAATGAACGGGTCACTTGTGCCTAAATTTAAAAATAAAAATTTAATATATTTACAATATATTAACTATAAATTAATAAAAATTTATTCACCAGCTCGATCGGCCGCAGGTATATTTTCTGCAGTCGTGGCAGTTATCTGTATTTCGCCCATGTCTATATTACAAAAATATAATATTAAGTCAAATTACACGTTTCAATTAAGCCAACGTTTAATTAATAGATCACTCACTGTTTATACTCTCTGAAGGTTGTACTGTATATTTAATAGGTACATAACGAGCATAAACATTCAAAGATGCATTATTTATTCCGCTTAAAGGAATATCAACACCTTCTTCTGGTGACGACTTTGAACAATTATCCAAGAATTTACTAACATCAATCTCTGCAACGCCAAGTGGGTTTTTGTTATCATAGTATCGTACTTGAAAACAAATTTTTGAAAAATCCAATTCCTTTATAAACACGTCGGTGACTTTTAAAAAGGAAATGATATTAGCACGGATATTAAAATGTTTATATAAATGAATAATTAATTACCATCGTTATATTCAGGATTTGCTTGCTTGCATCGTTTTGTTGTAAAGACAGGGAATAACCCCTCATCCACGATAACTTCAACGCATGTATCCTTCTTCTCAAGCTTGGCTTTATTAATATGTATAACTAAAACTCCAGATTCTATAGAATAGTTAAATTAATAAATATAAATATACATATACTCTTTAATCTTTTTTTTTAAAGAAAAACCAAAGCAGTGCAAATCGAATTTAAATATAAGAAATATTTCTATAACATACGATATTCCAAAATATTGATATTCTCGGATCCTTTGTCTTCAGTGATTTCCTTATTAACATTTGTTGAAGAGATTACTTTCTTTTCCTTGACAGTTGGATAAAAAGCTGCTGAATAATCAATTGAGCCCTTGGGTTCATCATTAAGAAGCACAGGTGATGTTCTATTTATAGAAAGGTAAAAAGTTTTTTAATTACAATATTTGTTTGCAATAAAATCATATCCAACGCATAAAAGATTTTATATACTTTACGTATCAATACTTTCAGCAGCTTCGATTGTTCCATCTTCTCGTTGATTAATTAATTTAGAAATTTCTAACTTTGTGAAACCTAACCTTTTATCTTTAGCATTATGTTCATAATCCCACACTTGAAAAATCAACGTTTCTTTTGTACTATGTACAGGTATATAGAATACTTCATCCCAAACCGGATTTAAGTTATCATTAATCTTATCTGTGCGACCACGGTAATTAGAATCCAAAAAAACGCTCACGTAAGGGTCGGGTTTTCCTGAAGATCATAATTTTTCAAAATATTTGGGAAAGTTGAAAAATATTAATAAAAGATGTGGTATGGTCATTAAATTCTCACGTCAAATACCTCTTAATTTAGCAATGTTCTTCAATTCTTCACCGCGCTTAACGTGAAGCCTTACAAATCCACATGGTTCGACTAGATGGGGGGAAAAAAATGTTTTTATAGTTGACACATTATATGTTTAACTAGGTTGATATTTTAAAAGTTCTAATTACCATATCCATTGTGTCCGGGAATATGATCCATTATCACAGGTTTCCAGAGGCAAGTTAATCTTAGTTTACCACTATTAGCTTCAGTTACATTAAACCAGTCCATTCTTTCCTTCATATTTTCTAAAAATCGATCCAAAGTGGATTCCCATTTGCCAACAATTGGATCAGCGGCCAAATCTCTCCCATCACGAACAATTATAGTTATCTTAGCACGGGCTTTATTAGTAATGAACATTTCAACTGGTTCCTATCGCAGGGAATAATATATTAATAAAATATTGCCAAGCTATTTTAAATTCCTTAAAATATTTACCTCCCAAACAGGATTGTTTGTCCTCCTTAATGTTTTAGTTTTGAAAACAGGTCTTCCGTTCAAAAGCAATTCTGCATATGGGTTGTATTGACCAACTATGGAGCGACCAGGATCAAGATCCTTGGCTTGATGAATATTGAAACGTAAAACTCCAACATCTGTATTATTTTTTTTTATTTTTAAAAAAAAAAATTAAAATATCATTCTATTGAAATCACGAAATTTATCATAGTGAAAGCTTATATATACTTGATTCAAGTGGTTCTTCATCGTTGATCTCAGCTACAGGATACCAGATTGCGTCGAATTGTATTTCACCATGAGGTTTACCCTCATATAATACAGGAGACGTGCTAAATAGTAATGTTGAGTATCTAATAAATATTTCAATCAAATAAAAAGAAAGATTATCACAACAAAAGTAATATTACGTATTCTCTTGGTCTGGATTTGTTAATAAAGTTTTTAATTCAAAAGTAGCTATTCCAAGCGGTTTGTCTTTACTAAGCCCATTAAAATCCCATAATTCCAATCTTAAAACTTCATTCAAGGTTGATAAAATCAAGAAGTGCGTTTCATTCCAAATAGGATCCACTGAATCTTCAATAACTTTAGTCTTAGCAAGTTCTTGATTTCCATGAATTGCTAATTTAACATAAGGATCAGAAGAACCAAATCTATCCGCATTTCTTAATCCTCTTGCACTATGTATGTTAAGTTTGAGAACACCAATTGCAGAATCTAGAATGAAAATATTATAAATAAATGTTTATAATAACAAGATCCACATATTATTAACAGTCACCTATTGGGTAACCTCCGATAAGCAATTCTGTATCTAGCGTAAAAACGTTTGGAGCATACATCATTGGGCGAAGCGTAGCATGAAGTTGATCAAGGATAAAAGGAGACAATCCAGGAAGCTAATTAAAGGAAAATGAAAATTTAGATTTCCTTAAAGTTATTAATAAAAGCACGAGAGAAAATTCGTTAAGTCACATTTGCTATATCGAAACCAAATGTCTCTCCACCAATTGGTTTTAAAACGTAATCAAACTTTGGTTCTTCCAAGAAACTGATGTCGACTGTTTTCATGTGTGGAAAAGCATTCATCAACTTTAGTTTGACTCTTATAAGTCCAGAAAATGACATATCTTCCAACAAAACGGGAATTCCTGCGCCAACCATTCCTCTTCCCACTCGGATCGTAAGAACAATTTTAGGATTAACTTTCTTGCTTAGTTGTGCCCTTGTCATATTCACGAGATCGTTTGGAATAAAACTGATTCTCCAGTCCATAACCTTGAAGTCAAAACATATAAATTAAAGACTATAATTTTTTTTCGTATAAATTGATATCAGCTCATTTTATTTATAATCATCTTAATAACTTACCACCACATCATCATCAGACTTTGGATATGATCTTACAGATTCGATGATGACAGGTTTGGAACCTAACGTAAAAGTTGTCAATCGAATCGAATCCAAAAAAGATGGTGTCGAAGCGGCCAATACACCATCAACCGTTTGCACAATAGTTGCCGATAATACAGGTTCATAAATCAGCCAGAATCGACGTAAAAATTCGTTAAGCCAATCAGCAGATTCTTCATCAATCTCCAATTTTTCCTTTGAAAGTTCCCGACTAATGTCACTTCTTGCATTACGATAGAACCGTTGGACCGAACTTTTAAAATAAGTACCTACATGATATGATATTGAAAATTCAAAGCGAGTTAAATTCGAAAAAAGAATCGATACCTATGAATAATACATAAAAGAAAAATCATCTTACCAACAAAAGCACAAATGATGATAACCCAACCAATACCTCCACCAAGAGAGGTGGTTATGTATGTAAAAAATACAGATACAAAAACCACGGCAGCATTTATCCATAGTTTTCCAAAATATAAGTCACTCAAAATTTCGTCAAAAAAATCTTTATCCGCATCAGTGGTAATTTCTTGAACTCGTTGCCAACCAACACGCGCCCATTCGGGAATTTCAGGAATAGACCCTCCCTCAGAAGGTATACTTCCAGGCAAAGGAGGATTCGATAGTTTTTCAACTTCTATTTCTCCAGCTGTTTGGTCTGTGCCAATGTCTGTGGCAACCGCTTTTACTGTCGTCGTTCCTCCCACGGTACTACCGAGAGACTTGGCAGCGCCCTCAGAAGCTTTAAGTGCTTGTTTAGCTTTATCTTGTGGAGAAGCTTCGGCATCAAATGTATATATTTGAGTATCGGCGGTTTCAAGCTCGCGGTTTAATTCACTTTGGACAATTTCCTCTTTGACCTTTTCATTTTCCGATTCTTGAGCCATTTTTTTTTTTTTTTTTAAAGAAAATTTTTAAAAAAATGACCTATCGTATTTAACGCTGTTATCGCGTCACTCAAAACGTGACAAATTCACACGTCAAGCAAAATCAAGTTGTATCATAGCACCGTATTTTTGCGCCCAGATCAAAAACGCCAAAACCTTTCGAAATTAAAGTTAAACTACATGATCGTCTCGAGGAATATAAATAATTTGGTGAAACTTTGTTATACAGCAGCAAATAACCTTATCGCTATTCTTAAAAAAGTAATTTTCTATAATAACACCAAAAAAGTTAAATTCTCACGTGAAATCGTTCTTACAACATCGATGTTTGTTGACCCATTTCTGACTCCCCTTAGATCTTGTCATCCTTAATTATGGTTTTAATTAAATTTTTGGGTACATTTTATCAATGCCGTTTTTTTTATTTCCTAAAAAAGGTCGTTTCTAAAGTTTATTAAAACATTAACCAGCCCACCTGCATAAAATAAAACCATAAATAAGCTGTATTAATGTACTTTTCCCTCCTTTTGATCATTAACTTATTATAAACTCGTCACGGTTCATCATTTTCAGCCATACCAGTGATCCCTATGGGTTCTATAGAGAAGTTTTGGCACATTTTGCTATTATTATGTTTGACGCTTTTTATAGGAACGTTTGCGGAGTTTATACCGGGTTCCTATCTAACATTACCAAAATGTATCGAAGCTACCGAGACTACTGCGACTTATCCGAATGATCCTGGATGGAGAGATGCAAAGGTTGGCGAACGAATTCGGTTAGTGAATTTTTTAATCGTTTTATTCTTTTGTTTTTTGTTTTTTTTTTTAAAAAAAAAAAAATCTTTAAACGTATCTAAATATACTATAAAAAATTTTTTTATAAAGATTTCAACGAAAACCTTTGGTAATTACTTATCCAATTAACACAACTCAAGTTCAATGGTTGATTCAATGTGCAAATTTATTCAACGTAAAACCGGTTCCCAGAAACGGGGGTCATAGGTAATTAAACGTGAATTCACAAATTTTTTGTAATTAAAGTACTTTAATTTAATTAATTTCAACCTTTTAGTAATACTGGATCATCATCAAAGGATAATTCATTAGTTATTGATCTAAGTTATATGGATTCAGTTGTTATAAATGCTGTGGCTCAGACAGCAGTGGTTGGTGGAGGAATTCGACTCGGACCTTTATATATTGAATTGGATAAGGCAGGTTTCACCATAATTTCTGCTACATGTCCGACTGTAGGTTTATCAGGAGCTATTTCTTCTGGTGGTTTTGGATTACAATCTCGTAAATATGGTGTTTCGGGAGATTTTGTACTTGAAGCAGAAGTTGTAACAGCGGATGGTAGTATATTAATCGCAAATGCCGCATCCTATCCTGATCTATTTTGGGCATTAAGAGGAGGTGGTGGTGGAAAGTTTGGAATTGTTACAAACTGGAAATTAAAACTTATTCCCGTATGGCCAAAATTGACTGTATTTAATATAGATTACTCTTATATCGGGTTTCAAGAAGTTTTAACATTATTTTGGAATTGGGCTTATGGTTCTATTGAAGATTTATCAGTCGCTTTTGTTTTCTCAAATAAAGAAATTAAAATTCACGGTCACTTTTTGGGTGGACAAAAAGATTTACATAATCTTTTGGATCCAGTTGGATTATTTAAAGTAGCAAATGCTAAATCTAAGAAACATGAAGATTGTACACATTTAGGATCTCGAGCTTATTTCCTTGACAAAGATAAAACTTGTGATAAAAGTTATTTATTAAATGTTGGAAATTTTCCGTTAGGTCCAAATTATGGTGAGGATCCATCATTTAAAATTAATGAAATTTCTCCAGTTACCGAAGGAGTTCTCGCAGGGTATGCACCTGCACCTAAACAACAAAGAGAGATTGTAAAGACGAAATCAATGTTTTTTGCCAAAGTATTGTCAGTTGAAAATATTACGACTATAATAGAAAGAGCAAAAGCTATGCCAGATGGTGCATATGCTGAATTAACAACTTACGGTGGTATTCTGGAAACTCAACCTACGGATTTTACGGCTTTTCCTTATAGAAATGGTGTGGCTTATCATATTTTGCTTGAAGTTCCACTAACTGGTAATGATATTACTGATGAACCTGCTTTAAATTTTATAACTTCATGGGAAGAAACTATTAGACCTTTATCAAATGGTGGAAGTTATGTGGTAAATTTATAAAAAATTTCAATTTAATTTTAATAATCTTTTAATCAAATTAATCAAATTAATTTCATTTGAAATAGGGATACGAAGATGAAGATTTAGCAAATCCAGAATCATTTTATTTTGGTAAAAATCTTGAAAAAATAAAAATTGTTGAATCGAAATATGATCCAAATAATGTTTTAGATGCTGGTCAAAGAGCACCTCCTTTTACAAATGAAAAATGCCCATTTGTTGTAGGAGGAGATCCACCAGGAAGACGAAGTGCTTGTGTTGGAATGAATGAGTATCTTCATATTTATATTATATATCTTTTGATAATAACTCTTGTTCTTTTAAATATTTTGTAAAACAACCTTTAAAATAGATGTTAAAAATTATTTATTAAAAATTTAGAAATAATTAAAAAGGTACTATTTATTATTTAAAAAATTTGTAGTTTACAATTAACATATTTCAAACGGTAATAAATCATTGGTGAAGATATTTATTATCTAAAAGTATATAAGGTAAATTTTCTAAATAAATTTCTTTTAACATTACAAAGATTATCGTTATGACTTCTTTGTAATAAATAGAAAAAATTATTTATTCGAATTTTACTTTTGGTTTAGCTAGCAGTTTCTACTAATATTGTAACAATCCTAAATAATAAGTAATATTTAAAGTTTGTTTAATAATTTTTCTTATATAACATATTATTTAATATATTTATTTTATAATTATTTTTATTTTTCAAAAGCAATGATATAATTCAATAATTTTATATTCAATTATATAAAAATATAATATATAATTTTAAATATTTACTAATAAACTAAAATTATAAAATCTTATATTTAAATTTTAATATAATATTAAATTTATATAATAAAATAATCTATAGTTTTTTTAATATTTTATAAAGTTTGTAATTAAATCAATATTATTTAAAAGTATTATATAATTAAAATTTTTATTAATTCAGAACAAAGTAAAGAATTATATATTTATATCAAAGTGTCCTAATGTCTATCTGCTCAATAATTGAGTCAATGCTAATTGGCCTGCACAAAGCCTAAATAAAGCAAATAATATAAATTTTTTTAGTTAAGATCATTCCAAACTTAACAATGGTTCCTATTTACTAGTTTTAAATTATTTTTATTAAATAGACGCTTTGTAGTAGAAAAAAAAAAAACTATCAAAAAAATTTTTTTTGAGTTAATATTAATTCTGAATTTATTTTATAAAAAAAAAAAAATATTTAGCTTATAAAGTAAAAAAATTTTTTTTTGTAGTTTCCTCTTTTTTTACTGCAAAATGCTCAAATATTATTAATAAATTAATTTTAAAATAAGTAAATATTTAGAATTTATAAAAATTGTTTTTTTAATCTTATAATATATATTAGTTAAATTTTATTATTATTAATTTATATATAAATATTAAAAAAAAATATAAACTTATAAATATAAAAAGGTAGCTTTTTAATTGAAAAGAGTTTTTTCAATTATAATCATTAAATTTAATAAACATAAACCTATTTTTATTAATATAATTATCTTTATTATTCTTAAAAAGTTTAATTTTAACTTCATTTTACAATTAAAATAATTAATTATATTTCTTGAATTACTTATATTAACAAATATACTGTAGTAAAATGCATAATTAAATATAAAATAAATTCAGTTGAAGTAATTTTAAACTCAGAAATCACTACCTGTATTATTTCTACCTCTCTTACTAAAAAGTTAAAATTAAAATCTCATAAATCTTCTGATATTATAATTATCATTGTAGATGTTCAACAAAAAAGAGTATTAAGAATAATTACTAATACTTCATTAATTATTTAAGATACTTAATTTATAGTCGATCTTTAACTTATCGAATTAGTTCAAGATACTTTACTATTAAGAATTAACTAGTTTAAAACTTTTGATACTAGAATATTCTTTGATCAAAATAAAATTAGATTAAGAATAAATAACTAATTGTTAAATTGTCTATAAAATATATAGAAGAATATTAACATTTTTTTAGAATTTTATCTAATTTAATAAATGACAAAATTTTAGAAAAATATGAAAATAAATTTTTAAAAGAAAAAGATCTTTATAGTATTGAATCAGAAAATAATGATATTCTTTTAAATTATGATTAAGAAACTGATTCTAATTGCTCTATTAAACAAGATGAATTAGCACAAATCGAATACTCTTATGATTCATATGATGACATCTTTAATATTCAAGAATTATATCTAGCTGATGAAGAAACTTCTTTAAAATCTGAATAAAACATATTATTTCATTATTACTTAAAGAAATAATCTTTACAGTAGAATTAATATTAGATAAACTTCATATATTATTCATCAAATACCTTTACAATCTGATACTAAACTAATAATTCAATACCCATATTGATTAAATACTATTAAGAAAGAATTTTTTGAAAAAAAATTGAAAAAATGTTAGAAAAAGATATTATACAATTCTCTAAAAGTTTATAGACCTCTTCTGTCTTATTGTTCTAAAGAAAACTGAAAATTTAAGAATTTATATTGATTACTGTTCTCTAAATAGTATAACTATTACTGATAGTTATCTTATTTCTTATATACAAAATCAATTAGAAAATTTTTGAACTGTTAAGTATTTTATAGTTTTAGATCTTACTAGTAGATATTGGCAAGTCAAAATAGACCTAAAAGATAAATAAAAAACTACATTCATTATTTTCTTTGGATTATATAAATTTATAGTCATACCCTTTAGTTTGAAAAATGCATTAACTACTTTTTAACGTTTAATAAATAAAGTATTATATCAACTTATTGGAAATTTTTTGTGCAATATATTTAGATGATATTATAATCTATTTTACTACATTTTAAGATTATTGTAAATACTTATAACTAATAATAAAAAGATTATAAAAAGCGAATCTTAAAATCAATTAGAAAAATGTTCTTTTATTTTACACAAATTAGAATATTTAGGATATATTATAGAAAGTAATGGTATCAAATCAGATTTTAAAAAGATACAAATTATGAAAAATCTATTTATGCTTAAAATACCAAAGAAAGTTATAATAACTTTAGGATTATTCTTTTATTATAAATACTTATTTAAAACTTTGTAAAAATTGTAAGACTATTATACAATTTAACCAAAAAGAATAAAGAATAGTATTAGACTAATTAACATCAGGATTTATTTAATACTTTAAAATAAAAATTAATAGAAACCACTATCTTAGTTTAACCTAATCTTAGAAAAGTTTTTATATTATAAATAGATACTTCTAATGAAGAATTAGATAATATATATACTCAAAAAGATAATCAATGTGTAAAATATCCAATTGCTTTTATTAGTCAAAAATTTTTTGATTTAAAATTAAAGTATATTATAATAGAAAAGAAATGTTTAGCCATAAGATAAATAATTAAACACTTTGATTATTACTTATACTACAAATTATTCAAAGTAATCATTGATCATTTTACTTTTAGATAGTTATTAACTATTAAATATCTTAAAGGATATATAGCAAGATAGATCTTATTTTTACAAGGATATGACTTTACAATCAAATACAATGCAAAAGATAAATACTAAAATGCTAATATCTTTTCTAGATTAGTACCTGTCAATATGATTAAAAATAATAACTCAAATGAAAATATAACTAATATTTCGAGATAGATTCAAGTACATTTGGGTTTATTGTTAGGAAAATCAGGTTCTGTGAATTTTTTAATAAAATTGAGATTTTTTATTGTATTTTAGTTTTTGATATTATTAGATTAAAATATATTAAGCTCTTAATTTAAGTCAAAAATTTCTCAGAATCTAATTTTTCTAGAAACCCTCCTATTTTTTAATCCTTATATACTAGAAAATCAAACCAAATGACAATATAACAGATTAACTAAAAAATGCAATTATAAAAATAATACTTACTTATGTAATAAAACTGATTACTATTCCCATTAGTATTGTAAAAATTGTTTTTATTATACAAACTCTTATAGTAATTATATTTCTACTCTAAATAAAAATACTTTATGTAAATGCAATGAAAAATATCAGGATTTTCTAATTATATCATGAAGAAAGTTATTCATTCTCAGAATTAAACAAAAAATATATATATTAATGTTTATATAATGATTATTAATAAAAAAGAATATGATTAAAGATAGAATATGTATGATATCTATTTACAAACTGTTAAATTTAAACAAGTCACTGTCAAATAAATAAGAAATAATGCTTTAATTAAAACTAGATAAAATTATTTTGTCAATTGTACTTTCTGTAAAAAGATTATTACAACTAAATTAGAACATAATTGTATTATTGAATATGGATTAGGACAAATTCATCCTGAAATGAAACCTAAAAGTTTAATTAAAGAAGTATTTTGAAAAATACCAGAAGCAGTACAATAATAAGACAATATCTATTGAATGATATATTACTCTCAAAATGCTGATAAATAGATATAAGAAGAATTAGATAAATTATTTTGATAATTATAATCCTCTTATTACTCCTTTTACTAGTCAGATTATAACTTTTAACTTAGATTTTTAATTATATTTATCATAACATATATTTTATTTTTAAACTATTATTATTATTTAATATTTTATTTATATTTTTAAAAGAGATAACATCCAGTTGAATAGCATCTAGTAAGTAAAAATCTTATATATTTTATTATTATTGAATAAAGTATAAGTGTAAGTAGTGTAATTTACAGCTTAATTATTTAATATAGATGTATAACAATATTTTGATATCTAACAATATTTAACTTATAATAAATGTTCTAATTATATTCAAACTAACAAGAAAAAGAAAAGATTTACAAATATGATGAAATTCTTTATAATTTAAAACTCAAAATTATATTATTTTGATAAAAGAAAGACCTGAATAATTATTACAAGTCTTTAAATAACACAAATTGGAACCTATTCTTTATATGATATATAATGATCCAATATCTAGTCATTTGAGATGAAAAATTATGTTTAATAAAATTAGAATATAATATTACTAGTTACAAATATATAAAGATATTAAAGAATATGTCAAAACATATGACTTTTATCAACGAAGAAAAGGATTAAGTAAAAATAACAAACTACATTCTATATTATTTCATAGCTCTTTCTATCAAATAAGAATTGACTTTATTAGATCTTTACTTGTAATTCCTTAAGAAAATTAATATATTATCATAGCTGTTGACATATTCACAAAATGATTAGAAATAAGAGCTACTGCTAATCAAGTTGCTCTCTTCATTTTTAAAGATATTATTTGTAAATATAGATATTCTATGAAGATTTATCAGATCAAGGCAT